TACAGAATGACAACAGGAACAGCAACAACAATTAAAAACAAACAATACAAAAGCACCATTTCAGTGAGAGTGGTGAGCCTGTTTAAAAACAGAGGTGAATTAATTGGTCGAGCCTTGATACAATTCACAACAGACTCCTAACAGATTTGAAATCAGCCATTTTCTTGACAGCAAAGGCCTCGATGTGGATGCTGCAGTTCATATCTGGAGCAACCTCTCTAATTCGTGGAACTACACCGCTGTGTCGGCTTGTCATCGCTCTAGCGCCGTCTGTACAAACTCTGATGCATTTTATCTAGTCGATGCCATTCTCTGCGATAAATTCATTCAGAAACTGAAATATGTGCTCTCCTGTAGTTCCTGTTGGTAGCGGCTTACAGAACAGAAAGTCCACAAAGTCCTCATGGGACATGCCCTCAATGTATCTAACGTAAACGAGCAAATTTGCCAAATCGACAACATTTACAGACTCATCTAATTGCAGTGAAATAATCTGCTCATCTTAACGTGCTCTATCAGAGTACTTCTGACATCATCCGCCATATCAATAATTCTATGAGTGACTGTGTCTTTCGGAGGGGGCAGCAGGTCAAGCTGTTTAGCAGCTTTTTCTCCACACAATACATCTCAGCTCTTTTGCCAAAGGTAAACAAAGCTCTGCACAAGCAGTGTGGGGCTTACCTGCTTTAGCAAGCTTGCATTTTTCCCCGTTTCCATTTCGGGAGTACACCTCAGAAGTTAAAACAAGTTTTTATTTCATGCGCATGGGAGCGAACCACAAAGACGCTCTGTGTATTTTTCTCAAATTAACCTAGATAAGTTTTTAAATATTTTTCTGTTATCTATCATGCTTTCCTGTGCTCACAAGATTGCTAGCGTTCATAGTACGCATTTCTATGCTTTCCTGTGCTTACAACATTGGCCTTGTTCCAAAGTCACACACATTCTCCTACCTCCCTATTTGCTGGAGATAATTTTTTAAAATACAATTGGCCGCTTTCGTTTGTAGCATGCATTCCTATACAATGGCATAGAATTACATTGTAGCTCTTGTGTTCACTCAAGTATTAGTGTGCGCTGTATCGTAGTACGTAGGCTGCGTATTCGACACAAACTAATTTTATTAAAATAGAAAAACCCGTCCAAATTTTTCAGTGCACACAACAAAGTTCCAGGGTCATATGGTGTACCACTTGGCGGCGCTCCATACCATAGTTTGAGAATAACCAAATTCTTTTCTTTTCCTTTATGCTGCTTTATTGTATTTTGTAATGGCTTTTTAGTAGTTTAAACAAATGTAAGCAAAAAATGCCAAATGTTCATAACATTTTGTTTTCAAAAGTGGTTGAGATATATTTAACATTCTTAAATTTTGCCTTCATTTTTAGTTTTTTTTACAAAATGTTCACAGTGCTTGCTAATTATTTTTTCTAGTTATCACCTGGCTAAACAAGCAGCTGAATGAAAATCAAATTACAAGAAAGCATGAAAATTTAGGGATGTTTGAAACACCGCCTGGAATGACGTCCTCTGGAGGTTTCAGAGCAGGAATTTCATCTCAGAATGTGATGGTAAGCTAAATGACCACAACCACTGATATTTCTTTGAAACTGAAGGTGGAGCTAGAGTCTGATACTTGTGGTTTCCTGTTTTCTCAAAGTCTTATGAAGAATATTAACTATACAGAATTATTTTTGAGGAACTAGACATCTTCAACTCATTCCATTAAAAAAAAAAATATTTTTACTTAGAAATCTCGGAGCTTAACCAGTGAAACAAACTTTTTCAGTTACCAAAACGTGTCTCTGTGACAATGTGTTGAATTGAAGCTCTAAAGACTTTTGGGCCACATGTAAGAAGACCTTGCCTTTAACAAAGTGTTCTTGCCTAGGTGCTTTTTAACAATATACAATAACAATATATATAATATATACTGGTGGGAAAAAAGAAACTCAACATTTTCTGGAATGAGAATACTATAGTTATAGCTTATGTACTTTAACAACAAGTTGTACGTTTTGTTTTAAGCCCTCTGACCAGCAATACAGCTTGTGCAGTGAGGCATTGCAACTTGCTAGTCACACGAAAGCTTGTTAGGTGCACTTTTACCCAACGAGGTCCAGGTGGAAAATGCCCGATCAGGTCATCTTTGAAAAGGCCTTAATTCAAAGCTTAGGTCACTGCAAGAAAAAGGCCACAGTTGGTCAGTTTATTGTGCATTCCATAATGCCTTAGATGTCACCAGAAGCAATGCAGAGGGCCATTGGCATGCTGCAGGCAGGCACGTCATGTGCCAGTGTTGCCAGACAGTATGGAGTAAGCCCCTCCATCGTGTCCCGACTGCAGAGGTTTCAGCAGATCGGCAGGACAGATGACTGTCCGAGGATCCGGTTGCCCTCGAGTGACCACACCAGAGCAGGACCGACACATCAAACTGGTCCATCTGAGAGATTGTTTCAGATCCGCCACCCGTACTGCTGCTGATACTGCCAGCAGACACAATGCCCATATCAGTGACAAGACAGTGAGGCCTCATGCAGCTGGCCTTAGAGCATGGCGACCTGTCAAAGGCCCTCTGCTCACAACTCCTAGACGTCACATGCGACTGGCTTGGGCCAGACAGAGGACTTGTCAGCAATGTCATCAGGTCCTCTTCACGGATGAGTCACTCTTCAGCGTGTTCCATGCAGATGAGAGGAGGTGTTGTGTTTCATTTTTCCATCAGTATACATGAAAGTAATAGTATTTAAACATAAATTCTCAGAATTGTTAGTTTCTGATTGTTGATCTTAACTAGCACAGTCTGAAATAGAAAAGTGCTTAAAATTAGAAGCCGGAAAGTAACAAATTTACATAATTTTTCTTATCAAAATAGGAAACTGATTTTATATTTTTAGTTTTAGCTGTACAGAACTATAGCGCCTTGTAGAGCTAAATCTATTTTATTCTGGCATCATTTATTTATTCATTGACCTTATTATAGATATAAAGTCAAATTCATTACTAAAGGTAGCTCTACATTGTTTCTCAGTTCTGTTTTCTCTGTAGTTTTAAAATTTAAATGCTAAATGATAAGTATATTGCAATTATTTGGAAGATTACAAGCAGTGTATTGTATAGGAATGTTATTTGAAGTAGTTCATGTAGGTAGCTGAGTCAGTATGTATAGACTGCAAAGGAGCAAATTAAGGTTTATTCCATGCTGAAAAGAGAAGAAAAGACAACGTTTCAACTGTGGAGCCGCCTTTGGGTGTGGGAATGTTATTTGTATTTGTTGTACTGTTCCATTGTGGGGAAAAAATAAGTTATTTTTTAAAAAGAAATCTCTCCTACTTTAATTTTTCCTGTTCTTTCTTCCAGTTTGGCAATCAACCCTTTAACTCTGCCTCAGGAATCAACTACCCTGTTACCTCTACATTAAATTCAAAGCTTTCTTTTCCTGTTAGCACAGGCAGTCGCCCAGCTTTGGCACACCTTAATCAGGCCCCAGGAACAAAGGCAGGCATTTATTTAATTTGTTTGGTTTCCTTGAATTCTCCATTTTACTTAAAGCCTTTTGTTACTTTCAGTGATGTGAAAAGGGAAGAATACGATTCTATGGTTTTACATATTAAGACATATCTGACGTTTATCTAGTTCTCACCAAGTCTTAACAACAGGTAAAATCGAACTTCATGTGACAAATAACACACACAAATTTTACTTTTTTCATTATTTAATAAACAAAACAAGCAGCCAAAATTCATTAGTGTTGTGTGAAAAAGTAAAAAATGTACAATTCAATAAGATGTGGAACCCCCTTTAGCAGCAATAATTTATGAAGTAAATGTTTCCTGTAAGAGTTTCTGTTTCTCACATCACCGGGGAGAAATTCTGGCCCACTCTTCCTTACAAAACTGCCTCAGCTTGGTGATGTTTAAGGGCATGCGTTTATGCAAAGCTCTCTTTAGGTCCCACCACAAAATCTCAATGGGGTTGAGATCTGGACTTTGACTGGCCTCTTTCTTTACTTTTTCATCCATTCAGTCATAGCTTTATTGGTTTGTTTGGGTCATTATCATGTTGCATTATACACTTTCTGCTGAGATTTTGCTGTTGTACAAATAGTCTCACATTTTCTCTAGAATGCACTGGTATAGAGAAGAATACATGGTGGATTCAACAATTGTGAGGCATCCAGGTCCTGTGGCTGCAAAACAAGCCCAAGTCATCAACTGTACCCAAGCACGCATGACAGTTGGTATGAAGTTCTGGTGGCGATATGCAGTGCTTGGTTTTCACCAAACATGTTGTTTTGCATTACAGCCAAACAACTCCACTCTGGTCTCTTTTGTCCAGAGGTCATTGTTCCAGAGCTCTTGTGGAGCAGTGTTCTTTTTGACAAGAAGGGGTTTTCTCCTGGCTACCCTTGCATGAAATCAGTTCTTGTTCAGTCTTTTCGTAATTGTAAAATCATAAACTCTATAGTTCACCATACTGGCAGAGGCCTGTAGATCCCTGGCTTTGGAGTTCTTTGTGATTCTGGGTAGATTGGCAACCATCGTGAACTTTCTCTGTTTGTTAATTATCTTCCTCATTGTGGAATGATGGACTTCATATTGTTTGGAAATGGCTTCATAACCCTCTTTCTCTGAGTCTGTCACTGATATCCTTTGACCTAGGCATGCTTTGTTACCACAAACCTGAATGCCCCGGACCAAACTTTTTTCCAGTTCAAGAAAAAAAATCAAGACAGTTTCAGATTTGATATAGAGTTGGAAGCACTTTCTAAAGATCAACTAAACTTGTTTAGCAGCACCTGATTCTAATTACCTTCTTAACAGATATGGAAACATTAAGGGTGCATTTTTCACACAAGGCTTCTGAATGGTGGCTGATATTTTTAAATAAAATAATAGAAAAGTAAAATTTGTGTGTGTTATATGCCACATGAGGTTGGAGTTATCAACTGTTAGGACTTGGTGAGGACTAGGTAAAGGTTGGATATTTCTTAATATGTAAAATCATAGAATCTTAAGAGGGTGTACTTTTTTCACTCCATGTCTTGCAAAGGTTTAAAGGTTTGAGTGATTTAAATTAATGATCTTTTGTTTCTGCTGTCTTTCATGTTGGGAGATGTTGCTCTTTGTGTATTCATGCAGCATCTTAATTCATAATATCTTAGCCGAACAGGAATTACAAAGTAATGTAATTAGGGATACACATGTAAACATGTTTTACGGCAGAACAGTAAGCATTCTAAACTGAATTTGAGGTGTATTTGTGACATGCATTCAGCAGAAATGTAGCAACACTTCTATTGCATGATGAGTGTACTAGAGATGTCTCTTGCTTTAAACTACTAATTCAATATGTCAAGAGGTCTATCAGAAATATCGCATAGTTCAAATCTAGCTCACTTGAGTTCATTTTTGTTTTATTACTGCTAGTTTTTATTGGAAAAATATCTTTTTTAAAACAGGAAACTGGTGTTTTCTCTTTTTTAATTGTTGTTTTTCAAACATTTATTTACCAGGTCCAGTTTAATCCAGTGATCTCTAAACCCATCATGTCACCAGTGGACATGAATTGTGGTAGTCATTCCTTACAGCATGGTTCATCAAATAAAGAAAAGTAAGTGGCACTATGTATTCACAGCATAGATAACAACACAAAATAAAAAACCTTACACTGTTTTTTTTTGTTTTCTACAGTGGGGAACTCCTCGGTTTGGAGTCAAAGTATTTAGAGAGACGTGATGATTCTATTCCTTTACGTGGAATTGTCCCCAAAAAGCACCTCAACAAAGGTATGTTACATCCTTTCTTGTGTAGAGCAGATTTCCGTATTTATTTTAAATTCAACATTTTCAAAAATCCTTATGACCTATGTGCAGACATTTTGGGAACTGCTGTCTCCCCAAAAAATCATTGCCACATAACAGTTTCACTTATACGCATGGGACTGAACAGAACTATCTCTGTGTTTGTTTCCTGTCACTGGGTTGTCCACTCATTTGGTTAGGAATAGTATGTTTTCCATATACCACAAACCTCATTGAAAACTGCTGAAACTAGTTATTTGTATCTCTGTCAAGAATTAAAAGGAGCTTTTCCCATCATTGTGAGTCTCAGTTCCATTTAGAAAAGACTTTGAGTGTTGAGAAGGATGCCTTTTTTTGCCTCACACCTAATTAAAACGCTTTATTTACAGTAATTTAAAACATTTTAATAACGGGGGCTTCCGGTGACGTCATGTAAGCAATGGCTGCTTAATTTTTTCGCTCTGTCGGTTATCTTTAAAAAAAAACAACAACTTTGTTAAAATCGTGTCTTAAATAATATAAAACAAACACTAAGTGTTGGGTGACAATGGAAAAACAAGGAAGAGGATGTGAAAACACTCAAAACTACTCAAAAAAGGATTTTGAAAAGGAACGGGGAGACCGCAATACTTCGCAGTTTGAATACAGTAGGGCGTAAGGAGCCAGTCCGGACTATTTTTTAACAAACTGAGAGATTTCAGAAGGGATATTAACATAACGTTGATGGACCTTACTGAAGAAGTACAGTAAACAGAACGAATAAGAGGATAAGCGAAATGGAGGAATGCATTGAGCAAACCGAGGCGTGGGGTGAAAAAACAGATGGCGTGCTTGTAGACCTGTTCCAGAAACGGAAGCAGTTAGAGGCCAAAATAACGGATTTGAAGGGCAGGTTGAGGAGACGGAACCTGAGGATATATGGAATCCCGGAGCAGAACGAAGGAGCGCCATAACCACGTTTGTTGAAAAGTTTATTAGAGAATGACTTGAATTCCCCAATTCAAGATCGATTTAGAGATTGGAAGAGCTCACAGAGCCCTTGCCCCTAAAACGGTGAACCCCCAGTCCAGACCAAGATCTATTGTCATCAGGTTTCGAAGATTTAGAACCAAAAGATCCTGGGGGGGAAAGGAGCTGTTCTATGAAAACAAAAGGGTGTACTTTGATCACGATTATGCACCTGATGTTCTTCAGAAATGGCTGGAGTAAAAAGAAATCAAAAAGACATTGAAAGAAAAGAACAAAATTTAAACACCTTTTCCAGCCAAAGTAAAGTTTTTTTTTACTTGGGTGTAATAGTTTAAGATGCCAGCATGGTTGAGAGTCTGGGAGGTTTATATGCAGAATTCTTCATGTAAATAATGTCTTCACAAGATATTAAAATAATTTATTTTAATATAAATGGTCTACGTAATCCGATAAAAAGTAGAACACTAATAAAAGTTAAGCAAGATAAGGCCTAGGTAGTGTTTCTCTAGGAGACTCATCTATCTGACACAGAACATTCTAAATTGAAAAGGATGGGTTTTGATAGTGTTCTACTCATCTCATAAAACCGGATGTAAAAGGGGAGAAGCTATACTCATACCATCAACAGTTAACTTTGAGTATTTATCAGTGATCAAAGACAAAGAGGGAAGATAGAAGACTCTTTAATTACATTGTTAAATATCACCACCAGGAAGTGATAAGTCTTTTTTTTAAGTGATTTAATAGCTGCAGAAACGGTAGGAGTGCTGATATTTGGAGGAGATTTTAATCTCAATTGAAATCCATAATTAGATACCTCTAAGAATTGTACAAGGAAACTTAAAACTTTAGAGAAGTATGTAAATAGATCTATAGAAGATATAGGCCTAGTTGAAGTATGGAGGGATTTTTACCCTACAGGAAGGGATTATACACATTTTTCTGCACCTCATAATTCAAACAGTAGGATAGACTGCTTTCTTATGTAAAAATTAGACAGGTCAAGAGTAAAGGACTGTGAAATTGGAACCTTGGATTTGACCATGCACCAGTTTACCTGACTTTAGACTTAAGTCTGGTAAAAAGAATACTGCTTGGAAGATGAACTGTAGTGTATTGTATGATAATTATGTTATGTTAAGAGCAATTTACGCATGAGATTGAACAGTTTTTGCAGAATAATGATCCAGGAGAGGTTTCTCCAGCAATATTATGGGATACAGTTAAAACTGGACTTAGAGGAAAACTTACTTCCATTTGTTCATATAAAAAGAAAATAAGATAAGCCAAATTAAAATAATTACAGTCTGAATTAAAAATTATAAAACAAAAACATCAACACCCACTCGTACACTTTGTAAACAATTACTGAAAATTAGGGAAGAATTATAGAGGTAGAAACAAAACTAAAATTTCTAAAACAAAGTTATGAATCGGGAGCAAAATCAAATTTCGTAAACAACAATCTAAATCAATAATCTCCAAAATAGTTAATCCAGTAACCAACCAAATACAATCCAAATTAAAAAAAATACAATCAATCTTTACAGAATACTTTAAATATTTATATTCCAATTCTGAAACTCAGAACAAACAAGATATAGTTATTTTATTAGAGTCACTTAGCCTGCCAATTTTAAGTGAGGAACAAAACATATTACCTAGAGTAATAAATGAGATGAAAATGAATAATATTATTTCAGATCTTAAATCTAATAAAGCACCAGAGACAGATGGCTTTCCAAGTGAATTTTATAAGACATTCAAAAAACAGTTGATCCTGTCCACTTGCAATTGGATAAGAGGTGGAGGAGAGTTACCACCCTCTTGGAATGAAGCTATCATTTTTGTTATCCCAAAAGGAGGAAAAGATCAAACTACAGTATGTGGGTCTTTTCGCCCATTTTCCTTACTTGATGTAGATGATAAGATTTATACTTCAATAATGGCTAAAGAATTCGACAAAATAATTACCTCGGATTATAAATTTAGATCAAACTGGTTTCATTCAAAACAGACAAACAGAAGACAACATTAGACGTACCCTTCATATTATGAGGCATATTAATGATCAAAGGAGGGAAGCAATTTTAGGCAGCCTAGATGCAGAAAAAGCCTTTGATCGGGTTAATTGGGAATTTTTATATCAGACATTGGAGAGATTTGGATTTGCTGACGAATTTATCAACATCATAAAAACTAATAATTTAAATCCTATAGCACAAAATCAATGGACATCTGTCTAAGAGATTTTGTTTGAAAAGAGGTACAAGACAGGGATGTCCCCTCTCACCACTTTTGTTTTCTCTATAGAACCCTTAGCAGAGTGGATTAGACAAGACCCAAAAATTAAAAGTATAGAAATTAAAGGACAAGAACATACAATTGCATTGTATGCAGATGATGTCCTGGTACATTTAGATGACCCCAATGAATCATGTATCAGAGTGATGGATCTTCTGGAAAAATTTGGTCAGCTATCAGGGTACAAATTAAATATAGAAAAAAGATGTTCTATGTTATGATTATAACCCCATAGATCAAATAAAAGAAAAAAAAGTTAAATTAGTTATCAACCTCTATTAAGTACTTGGGAGTATATTTGCCAAAGGATTTATCAAAATTATTCAGTTTAAATTTCAGTCCTCTAATATGTAAAATAAATGATGATCTGGCTGGCTGGAGTCTGCTACCTCTTTCAATGGGATCTAGAGTAGAAGTAATTGAAATTAATATTTTGCCACGATTACTATATCTTTTTCAGTCGCTTCCAGTGGAAATTTCATCAGAACAGTTTAGTGAATGGGAGAAAATGATTTCAAGATTCATATGGAAAGAAACCAAGAATTAGGTTTACAACACTACAGTTGTCCATGGAGAAGGGTGGATTAGCCCTACGTATGTCTAAAGTCATACTACCAAACAGTTCAACTTAAAACACTAATATGTTGGTGCGATGGATATTATACTGCAAAATGAAAAGAGATGGAGCCTTTGATTATAGATGAATTCCCAATACAGATGGTCCTGGGAGATAGATTTTAGGCAAACATTATACATAAAACAGCTATACCTTGGATAACTTTACCAATTAAAATTTGGTTTAAGATAATAAAAACCTGTGACTTGGAGAGAGAGAGGTAAAACTATTAAGATGGATAGTTTCTGATTCAGACTTTCCCTCTGGGAAATATGACATGATTTAAGATTTGGGCTATGAAAGGGATTACGGCAATATGTACTATGATGAAACGACCATCAGAAAAGCTCTATCACAACAATATAATCTGGAAAAAAGATTTTTATAGATCCTCAAATTAGACATTACATCAATAACTGGAAAAAGCAGCCACATATAAAGGAAAGTAATAAATTGCTTGATCATTTTATAGCAAGGTAATTTGAAAAAAATAATATCCAAGCTGTACTGTAGTATTGAATATATGAAAAAAAGATTCAACAGAATATATTGACATAAAATGGGAAAAAGAAACCAACAACAATTTCTATGGATCTGTGGAATTATATGTGTAGATGTCAGCAAGGTTCTTCAAGTTCACAGACTTGGAGAGAGTTTTGTTGGAAGAATTTGACCCGTTTTTTTATCAACCCTAAAATTCAAGCCAAACAAAAAGGCTGTAGTTCACAATGTTGGAGATTATGTGGAGTGCAAGCTGCAATGCATTCACACATATTTTGGTTGTGCCCAAAAATACACCAATTCTGTAAATCGATACATATAACACTTAATAATTTAGTAAATGTGAATATACCATTTGAATTTTATTCAGATTATGTACTTGGGCAATTTCGACTATGATGATATTGAAGTAAAAGATAGTTATACTGTACATTAAGGGTTCTTCTAGCATCTAGTAAATAAGTAATTGCACGAAAATGGCTTATAAAAGAACCTCCAACACATGAACAACGGGTTAATGTTGTGAATGAGATCTATATAATGGAAAAAATAACCTTTTCTCTCTGATTGCAGGCAGAGAGGTTTAGCAAATACTGGGAAACATGGATTAAATTTTTCTTCCTACAGGAACCTAATTCTAGTTGATGAGAAAATATGCAGAGATATCTATGTGTAGACTTTTTCCTTTCCTTTTCAGGATTATACAACATGGCTTCTTATACTGCATATATTTTTCCTTTAGCAGTTGCAGACATGCATTATTATGTTAATACCCTTTTATTCTGAATTGTAGAAGCCCAGAAGCCATCAGTTAATGTCTCCCAGCTGCCTCCTACACCTGGATTCTCTGCTTACTTTCCGGGACAGTGAGCCTGCCTTCTGTGTGAGCAGTGTGCAGTTCAGTTTCTCCACCACATCCCGACCAGCAGGAACATGACCCAAAACCTCCTTATTTTCCAGAAAATAAACCTTTCCTGACCACCTGACACCTTCATGAGTTTAGTGATTCCTCTTGAATTTACATGTTGTGTTTTCTGTGAAGTACTATATTTGATTTATTACCATTAGCATGATCATGGCATGAGTTTATCCCCAGCAACTTTGATTTTTGTATTATTTGTTTGGAAAGCATAGGATTGCCCCCTATTCCTGCAAACATCCTACTCTTTGATACAAGCTGTTTTTTAAACTTGGCCTAAACTGAAACCATCTATCATGATTTTTTTTCCCTCTACACACACAGACCCTCTCTTGGTTATTATAGAAGAGATTATGATGGTAACACTTTGCACGAGCTTTAACAGTGATTTAATTTCTAATAGTCGTCTCAATTGTTATGGAAATTTAAGGGTTCAGGAATTATCTCCTCTTAACCAACCATATAATTAATGCCTCTTGATACATTTTTTGGATTTGTTGGTTTTTCCTAACATTGGTGGTAATTTATTTTTTTCAGTATTTAATCCATATTGCATTTTAATTAGGTTTAATTAGGTATGATTTTTGTTCATCTGCATTAGGTTGTCATGATATATCTTGTTTCACATTTAATCCTACACTGACTCAGTGTTCTCTTAGAAGCACCAGTAACCTAAACAGGAAAGGTGCTTTTTGAAGGAATAATTATACCTTCACAAGATGCTAATCTATAAAAGCTGCCTCAATTGTTCTATATACAACTACAAGTACAGTAATTGTTTCCTGAAATATGCAATTCAAAATGTAATCATTGTAAAAGATTTAAATTTGAAGACATATGGGAACACATCATATTTTGAATAGTTGACTTGTCTACATATTGGAATTGGAAGTGAACCTGAGTTTTACATTGTTAGCCTACATAGAATCCGTACATAAAACTAAATGCCAAACTCAACTGCTGCTTCTTAAAAGAGGAGCATTGACCTGTGTGACTTGTGGTTGGTTTAATCCTCTACTTTGATGTGTTGGAATCAGATATTTAAAATGTTTTGCAGTGTAAAAATTGTATATATTATTGAGTGAAGTTCATGAAAAAACAACTGTAGACGAGCAAATGTTTATATTTTCAGAGCTATATCAGACCTTTTTGAAATTAAAACTTTTTATGAAGACAATTACTGGCATTGAATTCTTTCAAACTGCAAATATGAGAATCATTATTCTTCCATTTTGATTCATGTACATTATGGGGCAAGACTGGGTTAAAACCAGAGGACTATTTATTTGGAATTGGAAACTAAAGGGGAATTATTTTTGGATGGAAAGTAGGAAACGCTTCTTTAGAGAAACAGTGGTGGGTGTCTTGAACAGGCTTCCCAGCCAAGTGGTTGAGACCCAACTCTAGGCACCTTTAATAATCGACTGACTTTTCACTCATCTAATAAACCACCAGCTTTTGCACTACTTTTGCATCCCTTCTTCTGTATCATATATATATAAATTTAAATAGCAGAAGTCCCTGTGCTACTTCATAACTGGAGAATTCACAATTCTTGAATTCTATTTTCTGTCCATGAATTACAAAAATACACACCACCATTTTACTGTCTGAAACTTGAGAATTAATCATTTATGAGAACTATCCAAATCATTCTGAAAATCTAAATACCCTGTAGACATTGCAGTGGTTCCCAAACTTTGCCTTTAATTTAATAAATTGAATTTAATAATTGACTTCACTATGTTCAAGGGGATATTAAGTGACCTTCTCCTGATACTTGTATACCTTACAATTTTTTGTGATTGTGATCTAAAACTTTATCCCTGAGTTGTTCTTTTCTGGTAATTTACAATCTGGCCTCACTGAGACAGATGTTTTTTTTGTTTGAACCACTATTATTGCACACAGGGACCACTCCATTAATAGTGTGACTTGTCAAAGTAATTTTGTGTACCTGGATGAAATAAGGTTCACCCATAGCAAAGGTGTAAATACAAAATCACAAATAAATGTGTTCAGTTTGAGCATTAAATATATGAACAGTTTCACTTTCTGTAAGGTGTTGCTTTGATTTCAGGCAGTAAAAATGGTTCACCACGGTGATGTAGAGTTCCCCCTGGCACTGGCAGGTCAGCAGTCTCATTTTGATTCTGGATTGTGATAGCTGTATCAACTTGATCATAAGTCCCAGGATCAGATAACTATGGTATACTAACCTGGCATTATTTTTTTACCTGTCCTACTGAGGTTTCTCTTTTCTTTTGTGGAGAGTTCCATTCTCCTCAGCCAATAAAGAGCACATTATATGCATCACTTGTTTTTACTGAACTACTACTATACCCATTACTAGAACTACCACAGATGATTTGAAATTTTATTTATTGTTTATGGTTATGGTAACTAATTAGGCTGATTTGTATCAGGTTTGAGGGGGTAGGATGGCTTCCAATGGTATTGATTCCACAAACATCTAGACATGTACACTCAGAACCATAAACTCTTCTTCTGAACATTCACCTGTCCTATACCCGGTAGACAGACAATTATCTGAACCCTCTGACTTAACTATCCTTAACTCACCATTTCCATCTCAGTTCCATCATACAGCTGCGTCTATGCATAGAAAGTGATATCTTAAACTTGACTAGCCAAAAAAGTTCCTAAACTTAACAGTTCTACTATAATCTCTGAGCACTGATTGTACAGTGTGAAGTTTTCTCTGCCTAATCTTTAAATCTACTACTCTCTGTAAGCTTTTCCTTATTATCTATGCGCTGTCCTCCTGCCCTGTGTATTGTTAACCCCTGATCATTCCTCACAAGTTCTTTGTATTTGTAAAATATTTGTTTAATTCTGTATTTCAGAGCATGGAGCAACAGTGAATTGATAAGCAATATGCAGAGGATATAGGATTTGCTGTTGTACATATTAGAGACTTTTGAATTATGTGTCAATTATACAAATTTAAAATGTGTTTTGAGATCTCCTAACCCATCATCCCCAGAATCCTTGAAACACTATTTGATCTTTATCTGTGTGACCTTTAGAATTAAAATATTCCCACCCTGAAGCCTCACTTAGCAGTGTTGTAGGTGCTGACTTAGCAAGGTGAATGCAAAGGCTACATTCTACACAGCGATGCAAAACAGAGGCCCATTTGTTCTGTCACTTTGAAATTCAAACAATCATGCCTCGAAACCTCAATATTAAAATTTACAGCAAAAAGTAGCTGTAATTGCATGACAAGGTAACAAAAGTATTGCCAGAGCACTAGCACAAGTGCAGCAGGACAGGACAGTGCTTTGAACAGCATGCATTAAATACAAAGCAGCATCACAAGATGGCAACATGGTGGCATAGGTCCATGTATGTGGAGCTTGCATGTTCTTCCCAGGTTAATGTGGGTTTCCTCCAGGTCATAACAATGTGTACTCCTCCAAAGTAAAATGGTTGGTCAGGTGCAGTCTGGATGAGAATCATGAAGATTCACAGATGGCAGGTGTTGTTTGGAGCATCTGCAGCTCCATTACTTTTCCACCACTTTGCTAAATGTTTATTTTGGTCTCATTTGATCATAAAAATCCAATTTAAAAATGTCAATAATGGTATAAAATATTATACAAACACTGCTAAAATGCTTACATAAACATACAATGAATTACAGGCATATGTAAAACAGAATTGAAACACCAGTAAGGAAAGGAAGATTGCAATGGTAGTAAAATAAACATTTTTTTCAGGCTCATAACAGCAAAAGCATGATAAAGGATACAGTTTATGTCAAGGTTAATGAAATGGGACAATGAAATGGCTGCTATATTAAATAGCTCATTCAGGCTGAATACTGAGGTAAAAACACTATTACAAAAGAAGAGCGTTTGGGAAAAGCAAAGGTTCTAGAAACATGTAAGAGAAACTGATTTCCGTGGTGTGATTTGAATCTATTTTAACAAAATGGTAGTTAAACAAATGATCATTCCTAGACTGTTAACACTTACAATGTCCACTCAAGGCAGTGATGAAGCCAACTACAAAATTCTAGTGTAGAGCACATCCACTTATGCACTAATAAGTCTAACTTATTTACCAACAACCAACAAATGAAAACCGATTATCATGCATATTATTTTTTCTTATGTGTTATGCTTTACTTTAAGGCTCATCTATAAAATTTGAGCGAAGCTCCATGTTCCTGACCCTTGCTAGCATGAGGGATGGAAAATTAGGTTATTTCAGAGGGATTTGGGGGCTGCAGTGCAAAATACCTAACCACTTTGCATGACTTTGGATATTTATTAACATATAGCTCTATTATAAAAATAGTAATATTAGGTTTCATTTTCACTTGTATGCTCCCCCCATGTTTGTGTGTAATTCCTCAGGGTGCTCTGGGTACCTCCCACAGTTTGCTCAACAGTGGTATGTTAATTGGCTTCTGGGAGAATTGACCCTGGTGTGAGTGTTTGTGTACTTGATCTATAAGGACAGTGATGCATCTGTGATTTTTTCAAAAGCCATATCATTGAATGCTTTTAAAGCTGCTGTGACAAATCCGTGCCCAGAATGAGAAACCTTCTCAGCTGATAAAATATTTCAGCTGTCTGGGGCAGAGCGGTGACTCTGTGGCTAGGGATCTGTGCCTGTGGCTGGAAGGTTCCTGGTTAAAATCCTGAAGCCAGCAGAGGCATCCTACTCTGTTGGGCCCCTGAGCAAAGCCCTTGACCCCAAGTTTCTATCCCTGTCTGTGTCTCATGGAGAGCAAGCTGGGGTATGTGAAAAGAAAAATTCCTAATGCAAGAAATTGTACAGGGCTAATAAAGTGATGTTATGTTATGTTATGTTAAAAAAAGCTAGCATAGCATTGGTAACTAGCATAAGATTGGTTAGCTGTTTTTTCTATGATCTCAGAGAGTCAAGCCAAAATAAATGCAGATCCATAGCAGACGAATTATGATTTATCATCCCCATTGCAAGATGGACTGTTCCCTGCTGGGACTTCAAAAAGAGATTGAATAAATGTAATGGTGGAAAGGATATAAATTAGTTTAATACAGCTGTGAGCAGCCATATGCTGAACTTGAACTTGAACTTTATTACCATATGTAACTGGTACTGGTACAATGGAATTCTTACTTACAGAAAGTCTCTCGATTGTAAAACAAGTGTAAAAAACAAAACAAA